TTAGAGGACTGCACGAACTCACCAGAATGCAAACAACCTTATCCCTCTAGTATGGTTGGTGAGAAAATGATGGGTGAAACTGTAAGCGCCAGCGGAAATATGGCCGCTGTGGGCGGTATTGACAGCATGCTGATGGATACTACAGAATATATGAAAGTCTGCAACAACATAGCGCCAACATTCGCTGATCTAAGTGGCAACAATAATTTAGTTTACACCACAGGAGCAATCAATAACAGTCCGCCATTGATGACGACGCTGAAATCGGAAAACGTTGTTAGTGCGTCTACAGCGGGACAATTCAAAAAGATGGCAATACATAACAAAAGCAGGGATGAAGGCCAACCAGAAGAGGAGGGTGTTTCAACAATTACATTTAAGGCGCCGCGTGTATGAAAATAGAAAACCAGAGGGACTTCCAATATGCATAAGAAATAACGTGTCAGGACAAAACATTATTCCAAAATATTTATGTACATGTGCATATGTGTATGCATGAAAATAGATCAATACGACTAAAGAAAGCAAGGAAACGTATTTTTTTTAATATCGTTTTAAACTTGCGCTTGTGTATCTTAGAGTAAACTAACTGAATATCGAAAAAATTACGGTTAGAGATTTTGGTAGTTATAATGTTAGGCAAGTTGGATATATGCACATACATACACATGCATTTATGTATATACGGTTGCATGAAAAGAATGAACTGTAATATATGTAATTTAAATATAAACATATTTAGTGATAGCAATATTTTTTAGATTACAGTAAATATTAAACGGATTCTAAAACAATGTTTCAAACAAAACTTTTATCTATATAAGATCTAGTACATATCGCCATTTAAAGTACAAAACCTCGTATCAACAAAATGCAAACACGCTTATATTCCAAAAAGGTTCTCTCTTTTATAAAGCAATCGCATTTCTGGCTAGTATATTTCAGGAGGAATGGATAAGGCTTGAGCCAAAAGTTCGTGTGAGCAATTCCAATTTTTGCCAAAAAAAGGTTAGTTACGCGATTTTGCAGAACGACGATATGTGGTTTTGTACCTTAAACGGCGATATGCATGTATTCAAGTGTGTAATAAACGCTGTCAATATGTATGACTTAAGTATATAAAGATATATATTGTCAATAATGGTTAGATAGAAGTCTACTGTAAATATTTCTTACAAAAAAATGCAAGTTTTAATACGTAAAGATGTCCTTACATACATACGTTTCGTTACATTAATATCACTAAATCCATCGTAGTCGGATTTTTCGTGAAATTTATGCGATTACTGAATTCGAATTGCTACGAACGTTGCATATACTTTGAATAGATACAATGTACGCTCGTAGCAATTCACAAAATATCGAATCACGATGGATTCAGTGATAGCCCCCATAATGTACTACATACATTTCGTACCCTTGATTCACAAAGGCCCTAATCAACAAATTTTTTATTTTACAGGAGAAGCAAAAAAAAAAATTAAAAAGAGTATCAAAAATAGTTACAGCTTTTTAAAAAGTCGCATGTAACTCCGTTGTTTTTGGTACTAGCACTTTAAAATTTTTACTAAAGGTGCACTTTAATACCTCCTACCAAAATCCTTGAAAAACGCAGTCCTATTGGGCCTTTGTGAATTAAGGTAGCGATATGTGTATAGAAGGATCATACCATGCATTTTTGTTTATTTACATAGTGATTTATAACTTTTTAAAAACTGAAGTTCTCAGTTTCAAATTTCTGGAAATCAGTTTTTTTTATTAACGGCTGAAGCTAATTCAGTGATATAAAGCATAGGAATATTACATATGTATGTGTATATGTAGTACATCCTCGATTTTCGCAAAAAAAATCCGCGAACTGCTGCAGTAATCAGTTTTTGGATTTTCGAGTTATTCATAGTAGAAAATTATGAAAATATTCAAAATCAAGCAGAATCAGATAATCAAATTTCTCGTGCTATTCACTTTTTTGTGGTGAAATTACGGCAAACTAAAATCATTTAAAAATTTCAAAAGCGAAAAAAATTGTCTGTCCAATTTGTATGAATTCCGCAGTTTCCTTAAAAGCATTGCTTAAGAGTGAAAGAAAACGAATTATTGAACTTAAACATTTCGAATTTTCGGAAGAGATTGATAATATTTGATCAGTCGCTTTAATCAAGGGTTTTCTGCACATCAGAAGCCGGTTAATTGATGGGGTATTGTACATAAAACTGTTCCTATTCGATATCTACTTAGTAAAATTATAAAATTGAAAATGGTTTGTAAAGCCAAATATTTTTTAAATGTTAAAAATATGAAAAAATATATCATATTTTATTTCAGTATTATTCGATTAATCGAAAATCATCAACAAATTTTATTTGATATGCTATTTATGTAAATATTTCAATAAACTGTTATAATAAATTTACTTTTAGGCCAGTGCATACTTCTGTATGTACTATGTAAAGTATACTTAAAAAACGTTCATACGTCATTGGCTTATTTTCAGTACCCATTATATGTAACTTTCATAAACACTTTTCTGATATTGGAGTACATATGCGACTTAACCGCGAACTCCGATATTATTTATAATTTTTAAATCCGATAGTGATGTGAGGATAATTTAAGTCCCTTATTATGAGCTGCATTCGATTTTCGATCTTCGCTGGCTATCGA